CGGTGGGAGGGGGTGATTAAATCACCCCTGTCATAAATCCTTTCCATATCTTTTCCGCGGGGTTTTGGGAGTCCCCCCCCCCCCCCCCCCCCTTTCTCCTCCCTTCCTAGCTCGCCAATCCAGCCAACTCCCCCTCTCCCCTCCATACCACCAACACCACCATCCACCAAACCAGCCCCACCCCCAACACCAAATCAAGACCCGCGCACCCCCCCAACCCCCCGCGACGGACTACACCCGGGGCGCATCGCGGGCTTCTACGTGCCCGATTTCATCCTGGAACCTAAGGCAGCTAGTTCGAGGGCGGCAAGCGGCTGATCCCTGTCCTAATCCGGTCGGCTGAGACTCGAAGAGCTACGACGAGCAGCTCGGGGCTGGCGACGCTCTCTGGCGCCCGGGCTGCGGGGCGGGGCGAGGAGACGGTGATGCGGTACTCTCGGGTTCGCTGTGGTCGGTCGTTGGGGGAGGAGGTGCGGCGTGAGGTGTCGGGTGCACTGCTGTGTTTGTTGGTTTCAATGAGGCGGCGTCCAGAGGGAGGTGATGGGGAAATGATGTATCTTGTGTGTTCGAGGCCCATAATAAGTACGGTATCTAACATGACCCCGTCCCGGTTTAATAACAAAGCAAACCCCGGAATCCGACATCTACTCCTTTCACACCATTATCATATTTCACCAGTGGTTGTGCAGCCTCGACATTATATCTGACAATCCCGAAGGAACAGAAGATGGCGCCGAGCCTTGTCCCCAAAACCCCCACTGCCTCGCACCCATCGGTTCCCGAGATTTCATCACCCTTGATAATGGGAGCCTATGGCTACAAAAATGTGCGATTTTCGCCACTGACCCGCAATCACCGCTTTTAATAGACTCCCATCCATGGCAAACAACGCACCGGCGGCAAAATCGTCCAACTTGGCGCGTTTCCTTGCGCAGAACAAGCATGACGACGGTACACTGTACGGCCGAATGTGTGACCATACCGCATACAACCCTCTCCCGGACGACTATGTTTCGACTTACGAGGCTAGAGCTGCCGTCGCCATCGCAGCTTGTGATGCAGCTTTGCACTGTGCCTTGATTAAAAACCCGTCCCAATTGCATTCCGAAGAAACAACCAATCACCATGGCTAGTCCCTGAGCTTTCACAGTGCGAAGTTCCCTGCTGCAAAGGCGGACTCGGCAGACTCGAGCTGTGCCACCCCGTGCACTGTCCTGCTCGCTTCGTTGGCCAATCAATGCCCAAGCTCTGCAGGCCCACTTCTCTCATTGCCTGCCCCGTCACCAATCAGAGGCACAAGGGTATCTATCGTACCCGTTGACCGCGACCCCGCACAGTGTGGGGATTCAATTCAGACGCACTCTGAGCTGGAACTGCCTGAGGCGCAAGCTTGAGATGATCAGCGGGGATTGGCCAACGGAAATCGCAGTTTACGAGGTTGTGGAGGGTTCTTCGTTTCTCTTTTTGTCTGCGGGGCTCTCTCATGTCGAATGGATTTTTTCGCTTCGGATGGAACAGACGAAACGGCAGGCTCCGTATCCAAGGGGCCAGGCGTTGGAGGAGTCTGGGGTTATCTTTTATTCCCTAAACCAAACAGTAAAAAAAATAAAAATAAAAATAAAACTAGTAAAGAAAAAAAAAATGAGGGGCTTGTCTCTTCGACCAAACCATCCGTCCCTCTGCTCTGATAAATACAAGCGTGAGAGCAAGATCGGCTGCTGATTACTGCAGCTTGCCCAGCGGGGCCTCGTGTGTCTTCATGCATCCATGCCACGAACGGTGCACCGCAGCAATACTTCGGCCCTTTCCGGGCTAAAATAATTGGGCGGAGTTTTGACGGCGACGGTGGTTGCAGAGTCACAATAGGTAGTTGTCGAACTCTCTCGATTCGCTGGGGAATTTGACCCCTCTTACAGTGCGAAGAAGGCCAGGACACGCCTTTGTTTCGCAACCCCTCAGACTTGGCAAGCCCCACGCAGCAATGGCTGCCACGACACTGATCAGTGTTCGGTGTCAGCTTCAGGCATCAACAGCGGGTCTTCTCACGCTTGTAATTATCGCAGCGGAGGGGTGGGTACCTAGCTTGGTCGAAGAGACCAGCTCCTCGTTTTTATATCTTCTCTTTTTTTAATCTTTTTTGTGGCGTTTGATTTGGTATGGAGAGAAGAGAACCGACAAAAGGTAAAAGTAACCCCCTCCCGCCTTCAATGCCGATAGCCGTTTGAATTCTCAGGTGTTTGTTCCTCGGAACGCATCATGTCATCCCGTGCTAAATTGCCTGCACGCTGTTCTTCCAACCGAAGGAAAAGGGAATCCAAGTGGCCCCCACAATCCTCCTGCGGTTTCCGTTGGCCAAACACGGCCGTGAGGCATCCATCCCAATGGCCGCCCCCACGTTTGGCGGCCAATCGTCCCCACACAGTTCTTTCGCACGGGGCAGAAGATCTCGCCTTGCCGGGTACAGTACCCTCCGCAGCCACGGACGATGACTCAATGGGTACGGGTTGCGCGGGAAAAGCGATGATCATGGTTTGATTCGCTTCAGGATCGGGGCTGTGTCCTGTCGCCGGGCGGAGATTCCTGTTCGGAGCGCCAGTGGGAGCCTGAGTTCACAAGACCGGCAGCACGGCTCTTCTGAGAATTGGGACAAGCGGGCATGCACACCGGTGTAGGAGACTCGGTCAACCTACTTGGGGGTTATGGAAACCACCAGGTATAAGTATATGAGAGAACATGAAGCCTTTCATCCCATCGCCGTCATCTTCGCATTCTATTTCGTTCAACTTGGTTTGTTGTCCCTCCTTACTCTCCAGTGTCTTTTCTCACTTCAACATGGCGAACCCTAACCCCGTGACTCCCATCCCTCGAAAGTAAGGGTGCGGTCACAGAACTACCCGACCATTTTCGCTAACCTCCCATGACCTTCCTCAAATAGAACCCCTTCTACAAAAAACAAGCAACACAGGCTCGCCAGCTTCCACCATCTCCCACCCCTCAAGTTCTACCTCCATCACCCCATCGAGTGCCAACCTCGACCGCTTCCTCCAACAAGCTGAGCACGACGACGGCACGCTGCACGGCCGCGCGTCGAACCGCACATACCGCCCTTTTCCAGACATCCATATCCCGTCTTACGAGGCCAGGGCCGCCGCCGCCATTGCAGCTTGCGATGCGGTGCTGGGCTGTCACTTCTCGGCCCCCTTCCAAATTGAGAAGTGCCAAGAGTCCATGGCCAATCATACCCGGAAACGCTCGATGGCAGATGAGGGTCGGACCGATCCCGTGAGCTCCACCAAGGGCTGGAAAGTGGGGTCACTTGGCAAGGCATCCGACAGGGTTGCGCACAGGGTTCTCTCAGCCAAACCAACCAAGCGAGCTCCAGGGCAAAAAACAACCTAGCTCAAACAACTAGTTAGTTAGTAAAATCAGTAATATCTTGAATCGCCCCCGCGCTGGGTATATCTGAACTCCGGGCAACTCCAAACTATGATCTTTTTTTATTCTATAGTATATCACTCTTTACGTATCTGACCAATCGCACCCGGTCATGTAGTTAGGGCATCTTCTCCAGCCCAGGCCATTCCATGAGCCACAACTTATTAGTGCAAGATATAAAAATGTTGATTCTGCTCTGTTCTCATTGAGCTGTTCATTTCTTCCTTTGTTCCACAACCCGGAGCCTCAATTGTGGGTCGGTTTTTAAAATTCCATAGTACTGCATTGTTTCTCGAATCAAGGGTGGGAAATAAAGGGTTTAATACCCATATAACTAAAAGTCCCTCCGAATTCGTGGCATCCTTCTCCCCTTTTATCATCCTCCATCATCACCATCATTCTTGCAATCTTGCATAGGTAGACCACATGCAAACAGCGCCATGGCCGCCCGCGACTTCCCCAGGTTTATGGATCTGCCGGGGGAGCTACGACTGCAGATCTGGTCGTACTGCCTCCCCGGCCCGCGCGTGGTCGAGATGGATTTCACCCTGTCTTACCACCAGCTCACCGTCCCGGTCGGCTGTCACCGAGAGCTCTGGTCGTCGCATGCGGGCCACTACCCTGTGATGTCGCGCGCCGTGGCCCGGGAGCGCTTCCAATACGCGACCAACGGCACCCAGGGCCCGCACTATTCGCCCATGGACCCGCTCTTGGACGCGCCACCCGTCCGCCTCCGCAAGGGCTTTGACATTCTGCATCTCAATTGGCATTACGGCTACAAGGGGGTCGACGTGTTCTGGCCGCCGAAGCATCTCTGGAAGACTTTCGAGTGGCTGGCTGGTCAAGCCGCCGCCGTGTCCGTCAGTGCCGACTTGTTGCTCCCGTTTGAGCCAAAGCAGGTCTACGCGAATCCCTATATCACGTCTCTTCATGAGCGTAATGTGAAGCGCTTCAAACCAGACCGTCTCCACTACGTAGTTTTGGCTAACGTTGAGATTCATATCACGGCCAGGGAGGCCGCCCAGGCTGCGGTGATTGGTGACCTGGGCGAGGAACCTATCCAGCTGGTTGACCCCAGGGACACGGCGGCAATCACCAAGTTCCGCGATGTCTGGAAACGTCACCAGCCCGAGCCGCCGTTTGCCGAGGAGCGGGACGTGGCCAAGTTCTTCTCCGCCGTCATCGAGGGTGCTGCAGACTACTGCGCACGCGTAGAAAAATGGCGCCAAAACATGGAAAAGACGTGGTTGTTGCACAAGTGCCGCAAGTTCGACCTCCCATTGGAGGATTATAAAGATATTTGGCCACACTGGTGGGAGGGTGGAAATGAGACTTTTCTTCCTCATCCCGGCTTGGTTCGCGACTGGGATGATAAAGCGCTTCAGTTCGCGAGGGAGCACCCGTGGGTCCAGGACAAACTGGCGCTGATGCCGCGCTTTGAGCCGGTCATCATGTTCCGCCACTGCGTCGGCTGGTGTGGTCCGATGGGCTGCGCGAATAGGTCGTTACTTTCACGTTGCAAGACGGGGGTGACAAGACGGAATCATATCAGGGGCGTGCACAGGAACATCGTGATCTGGCGTGCTAAACAGAGAGGCGAAATCGACTGCAGTCTGCCGCCCGTACCCGCGCAATGATCCCGTGTAGTTTACGGCGTCTGGCTCGGCAGGCTTCGGTGTTGGCTTTTGTGACATATAATAGTAGTAGAGTATTCAAGTTTAGTGGATTATTCGATTTTCCCTCACCGTTTGGCGTGTTCTGTTCCAAAAGTTTCGAAGCGCTCCAACTCTCGGTTTGTTGACGCTCATGGAGTGGGATTTGCGGCCAAAATGCCGCCCAGCCGTCAACTATTTGCTTAGTTCGAATTCTCTTCACCATACCAAAATATATAATTCAATTTGTTTCCTTACGAACCTGCGCTTGAGACATTACGATTTACGTCGTAAGACTCGTGCCAAGGAGAAAGCAGTATGGATAGGCCCGCCAGCCAATCCAAGTAGAGTCGCGTTTTGAGCTTCCATTCCGGACCGGTTACCTATTCTGGATGACCCACCTGTGCAGATCCGTTACGATTCTGAGCAATGGGAGCAAAGGAAGTGGAAACAGGGTCGTGGAGCGGCACCTCTGAGCAAAAAAACCGGTACACACAAGCGATATACGTCTATCTTCGTACCATATCCCTCAGTCAAACCAAGCCCGATCTTTCTCAAACAAAGTGCAATACAATCCTTCACTGCCGCTCTCTCTATTTCCGCAATATTATTTATTTGTCTGGATTGGTGCTCTGTGCACAACTGTCCTAAGTGTGGTGCATGTATAAGCGAGGCTTGCAGGCGGATCCACTTAAGCTGGGTTGTGTGTAACCGTGGGTTGTCATGGACGAACACTCCCTCTGCAGCCTCCTTCCAAGAGGCACGAAGACGTGGCAGTCAGGCGACATTGAGAGCACAATCAACCTGGTACTGGCCTCTGCAGAACTAGCAGACCAACTACTCAGATGCACGATTCACCCCTGCGACCATGGCTCAGACCACAGAGCAATCGAGACAGATTTTGACGCCACGGTGGAGGACCGTCCCAGTGAGACGAGGTTCCTCTTCAAGAACGCGCCCTGGACGGAAATTAGGACTAGGGTGGCAGCAAACCTCGAACGCATCCCCTGGGACGGCAATGTCCAGCAGCAGACGGACAGGCTCATGGCAGCGGTAACCGAGGCGGTCTACGCCCTGACACCTAAAGCCAAGCCCTCACCATACGCCAAGCGGTGGTGGACAACAGACCTGACACGGCTTCGCCAGACATACACGTTTTGGAGAAACCTGGCGAGATCTCGACGTAGGATTGGGCAAACAGCACCAGAGCTCGAACAACGAGCCAGGATGGCAGCCAAAGAGTACCACGACGCCATCCGCAGACAGAAGAGTTCGCATTGGAACGACTTCCTGGCCGATGACGCTAACATCTGGCAAGCAACGAAGTACCTGCAAACCGGCAGCGGCACGATGGGCGATAAGATACCCCCGCTCGTCCGACCCGATGGCTCTATCACGGAGGGTAAAGCAGAACAAGCGCAGGAGTTACTCACCGCCTTCTTCCCACCTTTGCCAGCGAGAATCGAAGACGAGGGCCAACGACCTCAACGGGCGCCGGTACACATGCCAGACCTAACAATGGAGGAGATAGAACAAAAGGTCCTGTCCGCTAAGCCATGGAAGGCGCCCGGGGAAGACGGTCTACCGGCAATGGTATGGAGACAGCTCTGGCCAGTGGTCAAAGACAGGGTGCTCCATTTATTCCAGACGTCGCTTCGAGACGGCGACATCCCCAGCCAGTGGAAGAATGCCAAGATCATCCCATTGAAGAAGCCAGGGAAGAGCGATTACACTCTAGCCAAGTCCTGGAGACCCATCTCGCTGCTCTCCACGCTAGGTAAGATACTAGAGGCAGTCATTGAGGAGCGTTTATCCCATGCTGTGGAGACCTGCGGCCTTCTACCCGCCAACCACTTCGGAGCCAGGAAGAGACGCTCGACCGAACAGGCTCTCCTTCTGCTTCAGGAACACATCTACAAAGCATGGAGAGCTAGGAAAGTGCTCAGTCTGATCAGCTTCGATGTCAAGGGCGCATACAATGGGGTCTTCAAAGACAGGCTTCTCCAGAGGCTCAAGGCAAGAGGGATACCTGAACCCCTGGTCAAGTGGATCAACGCCTTCTGCTCCAAGCGCACAGCGACCATTGCCGTAAACGGGTTCACATCTGGACGGCAAGAGCTGCCCCAAGCGGGTCTTCCGCAAGGATCGCCGCTGTCTCCAGTGTTGTTCCTCTTCTTCAACGCCGACCTAGTGCAGCACAAGATCGACGCGAACGGAGGCGCAATTGCCTTCGTGGACGACTACACTGCCTGGGTAACGGGCCCGTCAGCGGAGTCGAACCGCACTGGAATCCAAGCTATCATCGACAAAGCCCTTGACTGGGAGAAACGGAGCGGTGCGCAGTTTGAAGGCGAAAAGACAGCCATCATACACTTCACGAGGAACATGGAGCGATTTTCAGAACAACCGTTCTCGGTCAAAGGCGAAGTGGTCAAACCGAAGGAAAGTGCGAAAATCCTAGGTGTCGTGATGGATCGCGAACTCCGCTACAAGCAGCACATTGCTAGGACGGCAGCTAAGGGCCTCGCAGCCGCTCTGGCCCTGAAGAGGCTGAAGATGCTTTCCCCGCGGACAGCGAGGCAGCTATTTGTTGCGACAGTAGCCCCGGTCATGGACTACGCTGCCAATGTCTGGATGCATGCGTGCGGGGAAAAGGCACTGAGCTGGCTGAACAGGGCGCAGAAGATCGGGGCCCTGGCCATCACGGGAGCCTTTCGAACCGCGGCAACAGCCGTGGTGGAAGCTGAAGCGAGCATCTACCCCGTACGAGAACGACACGCCCAGGCGGCAGCCAGTCTGTGGATCAACATCCACACGCTGCCCGGAACGCATCCCCTTGCGATGAAGAAAGTCCGGACCACCGTACGATTCGTATCTCCGCTGCAGAAAATTGCCCGCGTGGCCGAAGGAGTACGAGTTGACCGGATGGAGACAATCCAGGAATACGCCGTCCCGCCCTGGGTACCTCGCCTACGACCGACGCTCGAAGCCGATCGAGGGAAGGCGGCCGAGATGGTCAACAAAATTTCGGGAATCGTGATCGCAACCAGCTCATCCGTAAAGAAGGGCATTGTTGGCATGGGCGGCCTTGCACGGGATACTCTCTTCAACAGAACTAGCGAGACTGTGACAAACTATGCTGTTGTTCTTGGGACAAGGGAAGAGCAGAACCCATATACAGCAGAGCTAGCAGCCATCGCAATGGCCCTGGAGAAGTTACCGGCTAGCATCTGCCACAGGCACATCACCGTGATCACTAGGAACCAGTCAGCGCTGGCAGCAGTTGGACAGCCGCGGCAGCAATCCGGCCAAAGCATCATACGGCAAATCTACGACTTGGCCAGGCTGCACCGACAAAGAGGGAACTCGGTCAACTTTCTGTGGATACCAGCGGAGATTGACTTCGCGCTGGGGTCAGATGCCAAGGCAGCAGCCCAGAGAGCGTCGAAGCAAGGACGCACACCCGACTCCCAAATACCCCAGGCCAAGTCTACCGCGATGAGGCTGGCAATGGAAAGACAACGGGCGACAAGAGTTCTACCTGTAAGCGTGGGCAAGTTCTCAAAGGCCATGGACGCAGCACTACCAGGCAAGCACACGCGCCATCTCTATGACAAGCTGAAGCGAAGGGAGGCCTGCGTATTGGCGCAGCTCCGAACCGGAATGGCGAGACTGAACGGTTTTTTGAGCAGGATTGGGGCGGTCGAGTCAGACCTTTGTGCCTGTGGACAAGCGAGGGAATCAGTGGAACACTTTCTTTTCCGATGCGTGAGATGGACAGCTCTGAGGGAAGACATGCTGCAATGCACAGTGGCAAGACGAGGAAGCCTCTCGTTCTATCTGGGAGGGAAAGCGCCATCAGATACAAGGCATTGGTCACCAGATATGAAGGCAGTCCGGGAGACGATCAAATACGCAATGGCAACAGGAAGGCTGGAGCTGAATGAGGAGGAGAGTCTAGACCAGTCACAGCAGAAGAAGCCGACACTCAACACCACGAGCCTCAACCACGAGCCTTAACCAGCAGGTCCCGCTTTAGCTGCTGAAGATAGGACGCTGAACACTTGGAGAAAGTAGCCTCCAAGTTGATCTGCTAACAACAACCAAGGCAAGAGGTAAATGGTGCAGCGAGAAAAAGGGAAGAAGTAGGGGCTTGTACGAGTTAAAGGCAAACCGATTTGATCCGGATGTAGTTAGCGTGCTAAGGCCCTATAGGCCCAGTGCCTCCGGGCGAAATAAATTCCATCCAATTCTATCCATCCATTCGTGGGTTGTGTGTAACCGTGGGTTGTGTGTAACCGTGGGTTGGGCGGGCCTGCCCATTTATTCCCCTACTTTCTGGAGTCCTTCACTCCCTCAGGTATAATAACAGTCGATCTACCCAGGTGGCCATGCCTTCGATTTTGTTTCTTAACTTCTGATTCCTTTATCTCAGCATCCCATCACACATCTCCCAATGTAGCATCCACTCCGTCCCATTCCAGTATCTTTAGTTGTCTTCGTTGGCATAGCCCTATAATCCAAATCCCCTTCCATCCCACCAAGTACTCCAGGGAATCTCTGCACGCTTCGTCATGTCGGAACCAAACCCGCCGCTTGGCTCCCGTCGTGGAGATTGGTGAGCCGTGCCCTAGATATCCCAATTCCTAAGCCTGCTGCCACGTCTCCCAATTTCTTGGTCTTTTGTCTTCAGTTACAACTTGCTCGTCTCTCTTGTTTCTTGTTGCTAATAATCACCTTGGCCTTAGCACCGTGTCGTCTTCGGCGTCAACCACACTTGTGGGCTCGATTCATTCCTGCTCCAGCTCCGCCTCCAACCACAGCGACACCGCTGCTTACACTTACAACATCGACCGCTTCGACAAACAAGACAACATCAACGCTAGCACCGTTTACGACCGGATCCCAACCAATCCATCTGACCCTCACCCGACCGCCCGCATACATTTCTATACAACCAGAGCAGCCAGCGTTATCGAGGCCTTCAACGCCGCCTTTGGCGTCAGTTCTCAGCGATAAGCGGCCTTGTGAGGCTTGCCTACCGACGCGGGGATTGTATTTGTGTGGGATTCCCAGGCTGGACGATAGCCACCTTGTCACCAGACGGGTTGCTTCCATCGCCAGTCGGCGCTCGACACTCACCACATCACTTGACCTCAACATGGCCAACACCGGAACACTAACTTCATTGGACCACCCATAGATGGTTTAGTGTAGGACTTGGAATTTCCCCCATATTTTCTTGGCGAGCTTTCACCCTTTTTAGTTTATTTTTTCACAATCTCTACCCGTTACATTGTTAAGTCCAAGATATGTCCAGCTCCGGTGGCATTTCCTTCACATTCATTCACCCTTCAAGCTCAACGTCATGTTCCAACTTGCTTCATGTGGTTTTCCTTCATAGCCCGGTATAGATCTGACGGTTTTATTGTGGTCCCTGACGCGATGCGTACATATCCAGTTCCATCTTTAGGTATGTCCCCCCGCCTTCCGGGCCTACGGCTCAACTGACCGTCGATCTAGATGAGGATGACTCAAACGGTGGTCCGGAAACAGAGCAGTTGTTGGGTATCTTTTTGTCTTTAATCGCCACATTGTTTTTTGTCGCTTGTCATTTGCCAGAAACAAATATGCAATTCTGTCAAGTCTATCTACCTACGTGCACTGCGTTCTCGAAGTTCCTCCCATTCCTCCGTTCATCTCCACTGACTGATATCTGCAACCCACTCCCATTAACTTCCTGTGCCTGCTCGACCCCCCTTGTTCGCCCTCTGTTTGCATCCGTCTCCGAAGGCCTCACAAGTGAGGTTTGTCAGGTGTGTGAGGGGCTGAGCCACGCGATGCCTATTCCCGAGAGGCCAACGTTAATACAATCTTTCAATTCTTGTATGGGACAGGGTTATCAACATACCCGACTAGTAGAGCCTCATGCCCTGGGCATACTTGGAAGGGGAGTGCCCGTCGATGTTGTAGCACTGGTGGGAATGAAAGTAATCTCCATCGTAAGAGTACGTGTCGTACAAGAAGGTCTCGGCAGTGCATCCCGGTTGGCTGTAGAACGCAATCCTCTGCCCGTTCTTCTTTCCCCATCCATTCTCCTTGTAGGATTGAAATCGCTGGGTCGAGGGATCACAGGCTGCGTTGTGATCGACCGAGACATCCTGCTCCGTGCCGGTGCAGTCACGGCCGCTGTAGGTCAAGACTTTGACGGCCACGCTGCCCTGGATGAAAGCGGCGGCGGCGACGGTGATGAGCTTGGAGAAATGCATTTTCGGAGATGTTGGGAATATCAAGGCTCTCTTAAATGTGAGAAGTGATTCGAATGATGTTGGGAATTGGAACTGTTTGGCTTTGGTGGTGAAGGAAGACTCTTGACTGAGATGAGGACGTGGTTTATATAGTTAGAGTCGCGGCATGATCTACAAGCATCTACATGCGTATGTACATGCATCCTGTCATCAGAGCGTATTCGATCTTCGGAGCGTATCCAGCCTTCTGAGCGTATACGGTCTTCAGAGGACGTGTTCAGGTTGGGGATCTACTCGGTGTGTTCGATTTTGGGGAGAGCTCTATCGTGTGATTCGCCGAAGCGCCGACGATCTTTGAAGTGTCTCTCGCTTTTTCATGCTGAGGAGCCTATCATGTCTTGCAGTGTATTGACCCTTGCAGCATAATATCATCACACTCAGCTTATTCATGTCTCACAGCGTATTAATCCTTGGGAGCATGTTCTCAACTTGCGCAGATTCTCCGGAGGTGAAATTCTTGTCCGAAGGAGGCGGCTGTGTATAGACTAGTACCATGAGCACTCGAGATTCACTCCACGTCCTGCATCAATCCTGGCTTTACCGCGGTGGCCTTCTTGCCGCCTTCCATTGCGTCCTTTGCCGGTGTGTCGTCTACAGTTGCGGTGAACACACCGTCGACGAAGCGCTTAACCCTTTTCCGTATCGACAACATGGGCCGCTCTGGAGTCTCGCTTGACAACGGTGCCGGCTTCCTTATAGAGGGATATTCTTCACGACATGCACATCCCTCGTCTTTCCCGTCTCGGACATCTCCTTGTGTTCTTCGTGCAACCGCTCTAGAGTCACCCTACAGTGAGCCTCTTCCTTAGGGGGAAAAGAACCCCTTTTTTGGCGGCCCTGGGCAATCCATCGGCCCGGACCTGGCTACCTTTTTCAAACAGCGATAGTGATGACTAAATAGTTATTCACCTATAGCTACCACAACGGTGTGGGGATGGCGTCGGCTCGAATACTTCGCAGCTTGCTCACATATGACGATCAAGGCTGCTCGGTATATAAATGGTGACTTTTGCCAGAATGAGACGAGAACTGGGCAGGGAAGGGCTGAACTGTTGACATGGTGTCCATCACAAATGAGACTCGTCTCTTCTCACCGGTCTATCAGACATTACATCCTTATATACTACCCCCTTTGATTCCACAACCGCCCGTTCTTGTCCCATCCTCCTTTCCCAAGTTAACCCTCACATCAAACATCATCCAAACCCACTCACCCCTCCCATCTCCAACCCCCCTCCCCTTCTCCAATATCAAGAGAAAAAGAAAAATCACCCTTTCAACACCCCCCCTCCCCCCATCCCCCACCCTCGCCAACTCCAACACCAAACCGCCACAAAAAACAACCTCACATCCACCTCCCTCACCCCCCTACCCAACCCACTCCCTCCCCGCCTCCCCAATCCCCCTCGCCACATCCCCCCCCCTCTCCGTCCCCAAAAACCACCCCACCACCTCCGCCACCTCCCCCATCCCCTCACTGACTGGCACGTAATGCACCCACGCCCTTAACCTCTCATCATGCCATTCCCTTAGCACCGTCTGCTTGAGCACGGCGGTGCGGGACGCGAGCAGTTTGAGGTACCGCCCGGAGATGCCGTTGCCGTCGAGGTCGAAGGCTAGTTTGTGCGCGAGGGCGGCGTCGCGCGGTTGCCAGGGGAGCGTGCGGAAATGGGAACGCTGTTGGCGGCAGGGGAGGGGGGTCAGGCATTGGAAGAGGCGGGTGGGGGCGGTGAGGTAGTGGCGGGGGTTGAGGAAGGTGGACTTGGAGGTGGTGAGTTGGTGGGTGGGGGTTTGGTGGAGGTAGGCGTGTTGTTGGTGGTGTTGTTGGTTGTTGGTGGGGGGGAGGTTTTGGGTGAGGGAGAGGAAGCGCTGGCGGTGGAAGCCGCGCCAGTCGTGGGTGGAGGAGGCTACCGCGCCGGTGGTGGAGCCTGTCCAGTAGAGCTGGTTGGATTTGGATTCCCAGGGGAGGTCGGCGGCGGGGTCGTAGAGGAATTCGGGCTCGACGATGTAGGCTGGGGAAGGGATCAGGATGTCCGACATGGTGGAGGGGGCGCCGGTCGAGAGGACGGGGACGAGGCCCTCGATGAGCTTGAACGAGGGTGGCGCTTGGAAGAGCCCGTGCGTGTAGGCGTATTCGGGGTGCTTGCAGAGGTCGAGGGTCGCGGTGCGGTTGATGACGAAGGGGAGACCGAGGGCCTCGAGGGGGCTGTCGCGGGGTTTTTGCGGCGGAGTGGTGCAGAATTTGGTGATTTCGTCCCAAGTTGGTTTCTCTGAGAGGTCGGTTACCGAAAAAGGGATTTTGTTCGAGGCTCCTGGCGCCATCACCACCCTCGGCTCGTCGAGGTGGTTCACCAGGAACTTGGCGTCGGGGAGCACCCCCTTAAGGTCACCCAGCAGCTTGTTGAACATGTCCGTGGTATGTCTGTCCGAGGACCGCGTCGGGTGCTCGCAACGGGTCTCGGCGGTGGCACCTGAGAAGGAGCAAAGCCATAGGTCAATGTCCGGCGTCTTGTGGGCGTCGTGCATGATCTGTACCACCTCCTTGCCGCTGACTCTCCAAAACGGCGAGACAGATTCATAAATCATATCGAACTCGTCGATGATGGGGGATTGATTATCCACCGCATACTGGTACCATTCCTTGAATCCCGGTGGCGGCTCTACCCCATACCGACGTTTATATTCGTCGACAGCCGCTGCGTATGTCTTGGATTGCCGCGCCAGCATTTGCTCGAAGTCAACCTTGGCGGCACGCACCAGGACCTCGATCGGATGCTCCGCAGAATGGAGGGCTGATAAGTTCGCTTGTTGAATAGCGACGATGCTGGCCAAGTAAGGGACAAGAGAGAGGAGGAGCAGCGCCCACAGAGCCCACCTGCCTTTGGATTGTTTGGGAAGCATAAAGATGATCTGGGCGAGGACGAGAAGCGAGGCTACAACTGGTGACACAGCTTCCAGCTCTGATCTCTGAATCCAGAGGTCGCGGCTGGCTACCAAGCCGAACGTCCCGATGGCAGTAACGGTGCACCACGAGGTGTGACAGGCCTGCGGGGTGTGAGTACGTAGGGCTGCATGGTGGCACAGGTGGGGGACAGACTGTTTGTATCGCAAAGTACCAGAAACCAGCTTTGAGGAGACCCAGTAAATATGCTGTGAACCCGAGATGGATGCTGTGTCCCCCGAAAATATACACCTGTATCCCCAACACCCCTGCCAAGACAACGACGACTCTGGTGGCAAGGGCTGGAACAGCCGACTCGAGGTCAGGGATGCATGGCAGCAAGCGAGGACCGTCGGTCCTGGGTATCAAAGCAACGTAGACAACCAACAGCGCCGCGAGCGGGATAATCTGCAGCAATAGTTCTAAGGAGGCTCCTCTCACCACGGCGAGGACCGCAACCAATGCAACTAGTGCCGCCCCCCACACGGAGTTGACCAGAGCTGCGAGTCCCGGTTCGAGTTCCTGTGCCCCGGGCCGAAGCCTCCTTTCCGCTAGCAGCAGCAGCGGCGTCAAGGCGGGCTAAACAGTCAGAAAACCTCGCCCAAGACCAACCCAGCAAGACATTGTTTGTGTATGAGACAGGCAGTAGTACTTACAAAAAGCACCAACGCACCCATCTCCGCCGCGCACGCGCTCACCACCCCCAAAGCCAGCGCCACCACCCCCAGCGACCATCCCGACGCCACCCTCCCAGCCCCCAAACCCCGACCCTCACTCCCACGCCCCCTCCTCCCTCCACCCTCCCCCTCCCCCTCAGGGCCGTCACCGCCCCCAACTAACTCCCACCCCTCCCCCTCCCCCCCCACACGCGACCCCAACCCAAGCCCACCCCCCCATCGCCTCACCCCAGCACCCACCGCCCCCAACACCCCCCAGCAAACCACCTCGGACAGGCATTCTGCTGCCTGTCCCTGGATTCCGACTTGCCGGTGGCAGATTGCTGTTGCGAGGACTGCTGCGAGGAGGGCGGTGAGGGTGGTTGTGAGGTTGAGGGGTTTGGGGACGGGGATGGTGGTGGTGAGGTGTTCGATCCAGGGGGGAAGCCAGCGGCGGGGTGGCGGTGGTGGTGGTGGTGTGGACATTTCTGGTGGTCTCGGACGGATGGACGGATGGACGCGAAT